AAAAGTTTTATAAAACTTAATTTATGAATTCTACTCTAATACTACTTGAAAGTTCTTGAGAGGTGCTAAACTTTAAATTACTAGTCCTGAGGCCAATAAAAAGGGGGTGTGAATTGAATATTTAAAAATTCTTTAATGATGAAGAAAAAGCTTTTTATAATTTGATACGAAAGTGACTTGTATTAATAATAAAAAAAATGAATCAACGTTTTCATCCATGGCAAGGAAAATAAATATAGAAATAATTAAGGAAAGAACATACCATATTTATAGTGGTTCGGTCCAACCTGACCTATGTTCACTCCCCGGAAGCATCCTCTAAGTATTATACTAAACCTTTAGTGACTCTCTTTTAGCCTCCACAGTTAGGCGGAAAAGCTCTTATAAAATCACTTCCACCTTCCCCGGTACGATGAACTAGCTGGGTCCTTTGAGACCAAAGATATTCTTCTTCCCAAAACTTTCCTCAAGATGAACCTTGAATCCGATGATATTAAGGTGCAAGCTTGTCAGAGCAACCATGTGAAATCCCTACCACACTCCCTTGAAATCCCCTCTAAGGATCTTCTACTTCTCAAACTCCACTCTTTCCTTTCTCCCTTTCAAGTTCTCTCTTCAAGTTTTCTCTAGAAGAATGACGACACAATGACTGCCAATGATACTTACTAAGTGCCTTGAAAAAGCTTAAATAAAGGGATTTAAAACCTTAAAAATTTAATTTTACCGACAAAGATCGTCCAACACAATCATAGGATCATCCCAAATGATGTACAAAATTTGACTTTGTAGTCCTGGTCGATCTCCGGATAGTCCAGTGCGATCAGTTCAAATTTGTATAGATCGTCCAGTACGATATTAAGATCATCTGGGATGATTAGTTCAATCGAAATATAGTTTGTCCATGATGAAATATGGGACAACCAAAATTCTTTTATGTTGATTATACAATACGATCCATATCGTACAGTATGATCCAGATCATATAGTACGATCAGAATATTAAAATTAAATAAATTTGATTGACTAATCACATGATTAATTTAAGCATAATTTTTATAGATTGTCTTATGCGATATACATCATCCTAGACGATTAGAACAAAATATGAAATTCAAAATCTTGCCTAAATTATGATTGGAAGTTATTTTTTATAAGCATAACTGATCGTCCTAGATGTTTTAAATAGTCCAGTATGATTAGCTAGATGAGTTGATCATACAATATGATATAAATTGTATAGTACGATTAGTTCAAAAATTAAACTTCTAGTTTTGACTTAATCTTACTCCTCCTGAGTGTTTGTGTACATGGTCACCAAGCTAACATACATCTTTATAAGACTTGACTCAAGAAATAAAAAAATATATTAATGAATATTACAAAAATTCTTACATCATAACCTATTCTATCCAATCTTGAGCCTTGAATCTTCGTTGGATAGTGCATGCCATTCACGAAACGTTAGTACACACAAATAAATATATATTGTAAATACAATTAGACATAAGGATGTTAGCCACAATATTTGTTATTATCAAAAATATAAACTCATGAGTTCGAGTTGTAACATCTACATCACGCTAGGATGAAATTGAACCTACTCCATGTCATGCCCTAGGGTCAAATGAAAGATTTAAAATTTTATCCTAATTATCTCATCATCAATACACCACATACCCGATCTAACTAAATATCTTAACATAAAATAAATAAAATAAAAAATCCCTTCATATTTTATTTTTTACATTCATTTTAAAAAAATTATATAAAAATAATTCAATGCATTTTTCTAAAAATAAAAATAAAAATTAATGGATTAACAAAAATACCTTTTAGCTGACCTCTTCTATGACTTTATCAACTTCTACTCAGACGAACCTTTCCCTCTTCCTAAAATAATAAGTAATTTACAGAGTGAGCCACTACTTGCTTGGTAAAATCCTATCAAAGAAATCAAAGTCCACATTTGTATTTATATGAGTAAAAGATTTTACAAATTACTCTGTTAACATTTATTGGTTTGATAGAGAATAACTTTAATATTCATGAAACATTAATATATATATATATTCAATGCCACAACTCGATCTCACCTCTACAATGATGTTGCACACAATTAGAATATTCTAGATCCTCCCAAATTATCAAACTAAAGAGCCTAGCTCAACGGCAGTGATTCTCATCTTCATTTTGCTCCCTTAAATCTCCTAACCAAATAGGAAGAACAATGCCATAACGTCATAGAGCTTTCCCCTTCCCTCTCTAATCCTATTTGAGGTTAATTTGACTCTGCAAAACTTATAAGTAATAACTAAATCAAGATTACATACAAATTCATATAAGATCAAGTTAATTACTTAGGTTTAGAAACAACATATGTTACACTTCTTTAGCATTTATGCATGAAATACATTATCAAAGTTGACATATGATTTGATAGTAATAGTTTGTAAACAAACTACTCAACTCTTTCAATAATTTCAAAATGGTCCAATATATCTTGGACTTAACATGACACAAAAATGCCATACGATTATACCGCAACTCAAACTTTATAAAATTTTTTCATATAATTTATGCTTCTTTAGAGTCTACAAATTCAACCTTAAATACTTTACATGATTATCCTCAATTCTCGAATACATTAAAATGTCATCATTGAATGCAATAATAAATATATTTTAATAATCTTTAATATCGTGTTCATCATATACACGAATATTACTAGTGCATCCATTACTCCAAATGGTATTTCCAAAAATTCATACTACTAGGGGTGTCAAAATCTGACTCGACCTGGACCCTGCCTGAAAAATTTGGAGTTTAGGTCAAATAGTTTGCCATATGGGTCGGGTTTGAGTTTGAGATTTTGACCCGTTTCTAAAATTGGCTCAAGTTTAATTGGGTCTATCCGACAATTCGAAATCAATCAGTGTTGACCCAGAAAGGGAAAAAAAACTATCTTGCGACACACCTTGTGCTCACCTCAGACGCTCGCCAGTCGGCCTCACCTCAAACAGTCACAGCCTCTCCTCACATCCAAAGTCCAAACCTGCACCACTATGGCACTCTCACAATATTGTCTCACTTCCATTATCTAGTCTCAGGTCTCTACTGTCTCACCTCGTGTGGTCGCATCCAGATCCAAAGGTCCTAGAGGGCACAACCCCTAGTGGTCATGCCTCGCATCCAACATTCTGGCTCGGTTGCAGCAATCAGCACATCATGAATGCATGATCCGACACCATAGTGAAGAAACCACATCTGGGTTCACAGGTTGGGTGGGGTAAACTCGGTAACCTGTTCTCGGGTCCAGGTTGAATTCTTGACCTATTTGTAAAATTGGGTCAGGCTAGGGTCGACCCGTTTAAACTCATGGTCAATTCAGGTTGGACTTGAACCTGACCCATCGACCGTTTTGACACTCCTACATACTTCCCTTCTTCATCACGTCTTTAGGTTCATCCTTAATTGATGATAATTCGACCTCAGTGCGATCTTTTAAAGTATTGATGCACCTTTTAACTGATCAAATAAATCATTAATTTTGGAAAATAAAACTTATTCTCAATGGTCAACTTATTCATTTCTTTATAAACAATACACATATTCATCAATCTATCCATCTTCTTTACAAATAAGTTAGAATCACCCCACGAAGATGCACTTTGTTTTATGACACCAATTCCTATATTTGGACCTTCAATTCTTGGAACTCTTTTGATACAATTCTCTAGGGTGCTTTGGCAATTGGGGATGTACTAGATATTACTTCAATATAAAACTCTACCTCACTTTATGAAGGCAGACTCACTCTCCTCAAGAAATACATCAGGAAACTCTCCCACCACTGGGACATTCTTAATACTTCTAACAAATTACCCAAATCCTTTACATACGCCATAAATATAAAAGTTCTCTTTCTCCATAACTTATCAACTTGCATTATAAATATCAAATAAGGAAATACACCTATGGTATCTTGAAAATAAAATTTTTCTCCTTTATTATATAGCACCACTCTCATCTTTCTACAATCTATTTGGGCTCTGTATGATCTTAGCCAATCCATTCACACAATGAAGTCAAATTCTTTCAAAGGTAATACAATCAATTCTAATTCTAACTTAATATTTAAAATCTTAATTTCACATTTACAAATTTGACTAGCAACCAAATAACCCCCCCATAGGCAACAAACTAGATGAATTAGGTAATAACAAATCATGAACTAAACCTAAACTATTCATAACACGCCTAGATAAAAATAAGCGACTTTCGCTAGAGTCAAATAAAATATGATATGACATCATAGGAATTAAAGTCGTACATGTCACTATGTTCGGTGCATCCTTGGCCTTGTACTAGGTCAAGTTATAAACTCTAGGGTGTATTGGTGTGACACTGACAACAACTGCACTAGTGTGATACCCCTGAAATATAAATTGAAAGAATTATTTTTTAATCTTTTAATATTTGATAATTAGATCTATCTAATTTTATCACTATAAATACTAGTAGAAATAAAACTATTAATATGAGTTTGTGATTTGGACTTATAATGACCCTTTAAAAAAATCAATTTATTGAATTAGAATGAGTTTTTAGAATTGAATTCCCTCGATCGCACTCCTTCGGATGACCTCCAACAATCTACCACCAGTCTTGATTGACGATCCTTCATAAGCATCTCTTGATGGAGCTGTCATCTACTGCCCTTGGCTTCCTTTTGCTTCAGGCTATGAACATTGATATCATTATGCTCCACATGACAATTATGTTCACAAACTTAGATATTATTTTATCGATTATTGCATACCACGAGACAATATTGACCATTGTTATGCCTTATTCTTAGAAGCATTAGCTATGAGGCTATGCATGAAACTTTTATCCATACAAGTAGAAAAATAACTCGATGCGGCCACTTCCATAGCTCTCCACAGTGGACAACATGCACCACCACAAATATGGTGGCCGCGACAACCTCTCTCTTCTACTCAGCCTTTAAGTTTGTTGTCTCTGCCTCCGTCGACGGCGTCGCCGCCGCCACCACAACTGCCACCAACGTTGCCACCGCCAGTGCTTCCACCATCACAACCGCCTTCGCCTCCATCGTGTTGGCCATTGCCATCACTTCCATCATCACTGCTGACGTTGCTGCCTCCTCCATTGCCAGGCCAATCACCACCACTTCCTTCATTACCGCCTTCACCACCTCCATCACCCCCACTGTCATCAGCTATGTGGTAGCTAGAACCTGAGTTTGACCTGCTATTCTCCTTCAAGAAACTTGCGAAGGAAAGGCAAAAGCTAATGCTGAGGAGAACTAACAATGCAAGAGCCTTGAACTTAAAGCTAGTAGCCATTAATTGTGGCTTATGGAACAGTGGGTGAGAAGCTCTGGTTGCCGAGTGATTGCAATTTATAACAAAGGGCTTGCACTGCATTGCAAGTTTATTATTTTCAATTGAGAATGATAACTGGAATGAGAAGGAAACAATGTCCTTCAAATTTGTTTAACGTAAAACTCTGTCAAACAACACGGCGACCATTCTCCTTATCCCATTCAGATTTTTATTCATATTTTTTTACATAATAGAAATCATTAAGAGTGCGATTTGAAAAAATTCGTCCCTACAGTCGTCGGTTTTGCCAGCTCAAGATTTGACCGACTCCAAAAACTCGCATAAATAATTAATTATTAGCCAATTAAATATTTTAAAAATCTGTAATATATCCAAATCTATTCAAACAGAGCTGGATGAATTAAAAAATAAGGAAAAATAATTGATTTTTTACCAATTGTTGATTTTTTGATAGATCCAGCTTATATAAGATAACTAGTGAATTTTTCTAGAAGATAATGTTATTTTAATATGAAAATTGTGGAGTCCAGATATTTGTGATAAAAGAGTTTTATATAATTATTTTGCAAGCACTATAAGATAACTAGAGATAAACTTTAATTATGCCATAGTTTATGATCATTTGGTCATCTGATAAATGCTTTGAAGTTTCCAACAATGCTTTAGGCTTTTAATTTGGGGTCAATTGGGCTTTTTTTCATGTTGTTGGATTCATCTCGTCGAGATATTTAATTCAATGATAAGTTTGTTGAAATCAAAATGTGGATGATTCCAAATTTAATCTAAGAAGCTTTCAATTCAATTGTGAATTACGATTTGTGCTAGATCAAGTTGATTTTTGGTGACGTATCATTAGTACTTTATGATAAATATGAATTTATATAAACTTTTAAACAAGAATAAATTCACGTACGCGCACACACAAACATATATATACATCTCCAAAGAAACTAGCATAATCAACATTAATCTAGAGTCAAACAATAAGTCTCGACGAGACAAACCCAATGACATCAAAATCGGTCAAATCCGGGTTTAAATGGGTCAAATCATGGGCTCGAAGCATCTTTCAAAGCTTCAAAATATCAATCTAGTGCTCAAATGATCTCCAAATATGACATTTTTATAAATGAATCAAGTCGCTCATATTTGGAGACAAATCCAACGAACCAAGGATCACCTGATCTAACATCATTAAGGCCTTCAAATGCTTAATAAATTATCTAGGATTGAGGAGATCAATATGAACCATATGGATGAGTTTTGAATTCTAACCAAATTTACCAAAATGTCTTGCTCACAAATCGTATAAATAGGGCCCCTTTCTCAAGAAAAAGGATGTTTTTGGAAGAGCTGAGTGAACTAAAATGCTCCATGGTATATTTTCAACTCTTATCCGTATCCCTAATGATCACCAATGATGATCACCATCATTTTATCCAATTTCCTATTAATATATAATCTTGTTGTTGGATTTTTGTAATCCAATGATATTTAAACTATGTCATCTTATTTTTCTCATTTGTCAGAAGGGATTTTTTTTTTAATGGTATCTCCCATTTATATAGTGGTTTTTCATAATTGGAGTAGGCCACTTAGTTTTTTGCCTTTCCTGATTTTTCCACGCTAGAAATCACTAGTCTCATCAATTTATCTGTGTGTTCGTGCGTGTTGGAATCACTACAAAAAAAACTGGCATTACTGGTGGACTTTTTGACCATATTATATCTGCCAGAAGTAGCGATGGCGTAACCGGCGGATGTTTCGCCGGTCAATTACAGGAAAATTATCCGACGGATAAACCTTCGGAACATTAGATGCGAAAAACTTGCTGGTAGTGCCGCTAGCTTTCTCAAGCCAATGGTTCTTACTAGCGAAAAAAACGTCGGGAATTGTCCAGCAAAACCTCAGACGGAAAACCCGATGGCTTACCTAAGCACGAAAACAACTTCTAGAAATTTACAAATGATGAATTTGGCTGCACAATTCCGCCAGTAGTTCTCATGTAAATCTACCAGAAGAATCTCTGGCAGAAAGCTTCTCTCAGGACTGTTTCCGACAGTTGTTTTATTGTCAACCCAATTTTTGTTTTACTGTCATTCCACTATAGTCCTTTCTACCATTGTTGCCCGACTATGATACCTTTGATCACAATCATCTGACTACATCCCCTTTGATCTTTATCACCCGACTAAGGTTCTTTCCACCACCTCTTTTTGACTATGGTTCCTCTGACATCCATCATGCAATTACGATCCTCTGACTACGATCCTTTCCTTTCCTTGGGTTTTCAAGTAAAAAAAAAGTCGCCCCTTATGATTCTCGCAGTCCTCTCTCTTATGTGTGCATACTGAAACTTTGTATAAAGCTATGACATAACTCTTTATCTGTCTACCATCATGAATATTCTTGTACACAACAATAATGATTAGAAAACTTAATATTTAATATAGTTTATCAAATTAAATATTAATCAAATTAATCTCAAACTTTTAGAGATTGATATATTATTTAATCTTAACTAATGTTATAAATTTCATCATTTTTTGAATTAATTTTGATGCCAATATTAAATAGCCAAAGATTCATGTAATAATAGGCTATTTAATAATTCATTAAACATCCCATTTTCAAATATAATTAAATAAACATCATATGTACAACTTAAATATAGATAATAAATTAAAAATAAACTAAATTGAAATTAAGAGATAATTAACTATAATTTTTTTTTTAAGAATTAACTAATAATTTATTAATAATTAATTAAAATATAATAATTAATTAAAAATTCATAAAATTTAGAAAAATTATAGAATTTGAAAATATAAAATTTTTTAATCAAATAAATTTTATAATTATAGTAATTAAACAATTAAGGATTTTTTTGCTTAATGTTTAATTTCATTTGGAGGGCATTTTAGCATTAAATTTAAAGCCTTTAATGCACATCAAATTACTCAACAATCTTCCTATTTGATGCATAACATTTTTAAGGAAGGCATTTACATACTTGATTAAGAGATTATTAATAATCTTTAATAACAAATTAAGGAGTTTAATGTACTATGCTAGCCTTCATTTTTGGAAGGCATGGTGAATGGGATTACCAAGTCCTAATTATGCAACATTTAATTAATAAATTGCCCTTATACATCATGCTTGAATCCATTTTGAAAGAAAGTGTATTAGTTTTAAAGATCCCTCTTCTATCCCTTAACAAATCAACAAACCTTAAAGGCTATTCATGTAATCATCTATCCTACATGGGGGTTGAGAATTTATAGGTTAGTAGCACCTGCACTTGGAGTTATTAACTTGCAAATTCTTTAAAATTAAATAATTAAATCCAACCTCTAAAAATTAAATAATAAAATTCAAATTCATATGAAGCAAATTACAATTAAAAATTCTCTTTTGGCCTTAATAATCAAACATCCTAAACTCATGCAACTTAAATATTAAACTCCTATAAGACATACTAATCCACACAACCTCCTACACACACTTTAGATAGTTTTTTAGGACAACCAACTTTAGCCTGGGCTAGGCCAGAGGTGTGAATTACTTGCCGGAAGTTTTGCTTGGATAGCATGCACATTTTATTTTTAGCTATTTGAATGTCATACATTTTAAATTTTTGTTCGTTCTCTTAGGCTTTTTAAGGACAACATTAGAATTATTATGTTATTACACAATTGGCATGTAATTTATATGCTTTTATATTACTTTTATTTCCTACAACAGTCAAAATAGAATTAACCTATGAGATGTTGTCTACATGTATGAGTCATTGTTAATATAAAATGATATAGATTGAGTTGCACAATTTCTTAATATATATGGTAGGCTTAGAAATCCATGTTTGTTGTGTTGGAGCCTTGCTACCTTTTTTTCTGCAGAGTTTGAGTCTCTTTGCATATTTTCAAATCAATTAATATTTTTTTATATATACAATCTTTTTTTTATTACATTGCATCATGTATTGCATTCTTATGACCGGTAGCTTTTATTAGTGGGTAGTAGTTTTTCTAGGCTATCCTCGGTGTATATGTTTTGGACTATATAGGAACATGTATGCTAGTTCAAAGGCGATATAGTAATGGGTATTGTATACTCAAACACCTTTTCCTAATCATGCGTACATGCACATATTTTATTTCTACAACATATATAAACCATGTACATAAGCCTATGGCAAGGTAGTGGGGTCCTCTTATGCTCCTAAGATGCTTAGCTTTTCCTGTTGGTATAGGGCCATTATGTTGCAAAACATTCTAAAAAAATTTGGGAGTTAGAAAATTTAGTTAGGTAAATTAATTAAGATAAAATGAAGAGTTCTTTGCGAGTTATCACAATATCATCATTTAAGCATAAAGTTAAAATTATTTATCTCGAGTCACTAATTTAGAGTTTGACTTATCTTTTATGACTTCTTAGGACAATGTTTTTCTTATAATATACTACATCTAAGATGATTGCTTGTATATTAGGTTGTTAAATTGAACTACATTATAGTAAATGTAAGCCCAGAGGTATTTGTACACCTCGAATGCTATTTTAAAAAAAGTATAAAGACATCAAGGATATTTTGCAAAATTTAAAGATATTTTTGAATGAGTGGTTGATATTTTCAAGATATGCAAGGAAAATATCATATATTTTAAATCTAGAATGAGTGTAGTTTCCACTTCTATAAAAAAAAATTCTCTTCGAAGGTGTAATTGACTGCAGGGGCTTGCCTATATGAATCCAAGATCCCAGTATAAAGTAAACCCTATCTTATTTCACTAAGAGAAAAAATTTTCTAGATGTCAAATAAAGCTAATCCTGGGTTAGTTACATATTTGGAAAGATTGGTGTATGTGAATACTTTCCTCTAGAATGAATTTTATATCCACAATGTCAAATTCTAATATGAAAATAAATTATGTCTTTTCTCATGTCGATAATGCAGTGTTAGTTTATCTTTTGAGGTAATTAATTATGCTAAATATGTA